AAATTTTACTTTCTGGAATAAAGAAACAACCATAAAAGTGCTTGTTGACTGCATCAAATATCCTACGAAATGGTCAAGAAAAAATATACTCTAATGAAAGTAAAAATTTTAATATGCCGTCTATGCAAAATTACATTTTAATGATAATGAATCTAAACAACATGCAAAGTGTTTTTATGGAGAAAATTGGCAAACTATTGTTTATTTACGGTAAGTACATCAATAAAGTGCAAGTATAGAGGGCCAGATAATGAATTGCACTTCATTTTCGCAATCGACAATGTGCCAGCAAATGTTTGATGGATGTTGCTTTTCATCAGTAGAGCACTAGACATTGGATCGTTAAGTCGTAGCAGTGGCAGTGCTGATAGCTCTCACACTGCCTAAACAGTAGATTATAAAGAGATGGAAGTAAACTAACGATTGTGTTGTAGCCAATTATTACCCCACAACACTTTATCTCGGACCACAGTTGAGTATCCTACATGTAGTTCCTGCTGGTAACAGGAGTTATCTCAGCATTTCTGCGGTTATTTTCTTCACTATCGTTTGGTCGTGAAAGAACATTATATATAATTTTATTTTTTTAAGATAAGCGAAGAAAACAGGCCTTTCTTCAAGTGTGTAGCGATAAACAATTTTATCAGCAATCGAATTAAGTATTATTAATTAGACTGCAAGAATTTTTTAAATGATAATTGTTAAGTATAATAATAAAAAAAATATTTATACATGAATAACTTATATTGCAATTTTACCTTCTTTACTTTCTTTACTTTAATACAGTAAGGTCCATTTGACGAATACCTAATCTGTTGGCCACACAATCTCTCTCTCTAACCTAAGACATCTAGATTTCTGGGAAAAAATCAATTAAATCAAAAATCAAAAAAAGTTATCAATTTATTTTGAGAAGTACGAAACCGTTTGCTCTGAAATTTAGTACATATCTAAATTATTATCAAGATATAAATCATCAAATTGTCTATTCATTCCCATCAAATAAATCCTGTTTAAAATATGCAAATAAAATAAATACGTGTGGCGTATTAATCCACCCATATTTTTAGAGTTATATGCGGAAAAAAATCAAAACACCTACGTACCCTTCAGATCGGATTTCCAAGATCGAAACTTGTCACATCAGATTTTCGTCTCTTACTTTCATAGCACTAAACCTTTTAGAAGAAAATTGGTCGAAGGTTATTTAGACAGAACTTCCTTCGCTCCAGAAGGGTAAATAACACCCCCTCAATCCCCCCGCTTCGAGGGTGTAAATTCCAAGGGGGCCCGGTCTGAACAAATGCGGACCATATGAATTATATTTAAAGCAGATAATCAGTGGGAAACAATGTATTCTTAATTCCAAGTACTTGTTTAACTTTAATTGTTTTGTTTATGTTTATGGTTTGAAAGAATTCGGCCATTAGCACGTCATATTGTATCAGCGCCGGCATTGAAGTAAGTAACGGTGGCATTAAATGCATGCATATGTATTAAAAGAAACTGACATTTGATTGATTTTATCTCTTCAATACAGAAAAGAGGACAAATTAATTAAGTAAGCATACTCGATATTTTGACAAAAAGTATACCTAGATAATAACAAGATAGTACAAGAACAAAGTAAATTGACTGATTCAGTATTTTTTTCAGTCACCGTGTATAAGCAAATCCAAAAAATATGAATCCAGTGATAAATTAGAAGTATAGACTATTCATATTTTGCACATTTTAGATGGGATTTATTCGGCAAAACTTTTAGATATTGTCATCACTCATCAATTTTTCGGGGTTGACTCAGATATTTTGATTAAAAAGTTACCATGCTTACAATAACGTCTGCAAAATTTCAAAGTATTAAATAATACATTTTTTGAGTCACCCTGTATAAGAAAATTTAAAAAATATGAATGCAATGATAAATTACAAGTGTAGACTCATCATATTTTGCACATTTAAGATAGGATTTATTCAGCAATATTTTGAGGGGAAGTCATCATTTTTTTTTAGGGGGGATGAGCAAATATATTTTGATCAAAAATTTACCATGTTTGCGATAACCTTAAAACATCTCCATGATTTCAAAGCATTCGATTTTGCAGTTCCTGATTAAATCAATAAAACAAATTCACACATTCATCAATTTTTTTGAGTCACCTTGTATATGCAAATCCAAAAAATATGAATGGAATAATAAATCACAAGTATAGACTCATCATATTTTCTACATTTTAGATAAGATTTTTTTAGCAAAATTTTGGGGTGACGTCATCAATTTTTTGGAGGGGATAAGTAAATATTTTCGATTAAAAATTTATCATACTTATGCCAACTGTAAACCATCTGCAAGATTTCAAAGCATTCGGTTTGATTCCAAATTAAATTGCAGAATGTTGTTTCATAATTTGTTTTTTTTTTTCAAAAATCTGGACGTTTCTGGTAAAAACTCAATTCGGAGTGATAAACTACATGTCTAGGACTATGTTATTTTATACAATTTAAAACCCATTTACTATGTACAATTTTGAAGTGACGTCATCGCATTATTGCTGGGGATGATTAGACAAATTTTGATTAGCGTTTTACATGATATTCCTAATGTAAATACAAAATTTGACAACAATCAGCCCAGTACTTTCGGAAATTATCTGTCTAATAAAAATCCGGACAGACAGACGGAGAGACACACGGACAGGTAGACGGACAGATAGACGGACAGGCGGGAGACATATTTCTTCGTTTTCTAAAGGTCATGAAAGGTCGAGAAAATGTAAAGTAGAGAGTCGGCCGATGGACTCGATTACAGTACTTCCTTTGCTTATGCTTGGGAAGTAAAAATATTGACAGTAAAGACTCGTCTCGATTCCTTTGTGTAATAATCTACAATAAAATTATTCTGCAGTTATTTAGACAGAACTTTCCTCACCCCTCAATCAAAATGAATTGAATCCATTTTCTTAGATAAATAATAAACTTTGATTGTGCGAATTTTATTTGTTTCCTGGTATTTCCTATAATTTTAAACAGAAATACTATGGGTACCTTAATAAAAAGCTGAAAAATAGCACTACGTTTCTTAATAAGTAAAACATTATGTTTCATTCATTCATTTTATGAAACAACCTGTATAAGCAATTCTAAAAGGTATGAGACATAGTATACACCCATATTATACCACGTGTTTCTTTTATTTGATGCAGCCCCTGTAAGTTTTTTATTTTTAAAGATAAACATATATTATAGTTCTTTGAGCAAATTTGTATCATTTTAAAAGATCACTTAAGTGATTTATGAAAAAATATACTATGTTCCATAAAACAAATTGGTCGAGGTTATCTCAACAGAACTTCCCTCGCTTCTGAAGTGCAGCCAAATAAATCCCACTTCTCTGAACATTTAACCATAATGAAGTAAAAACCAGCTCCCGCAGCTTATTTGACTTGAATTTTTTCTTCAATTTTTATTTTTTTTCTCCCTTCATTTTTTCGAGTTTTGAACTTTAAACTTAATTTTTCAATTTTTCAACTTTGCAGTTCAAATTATAGATTTTGCAATTTTTCGATTTGAGTTTCTCGAGTTTTCAATTTTTATTTATATTATTTTTTCATTTGGAATTTTTCGTTTCAGTTTAGGAGTATATTTTTGTATAACATTCAAATCATTTTAAAATACGGTTCATTGAGATGACGTTGGTAGGGCTAATTAGCTAAATTTTGGCTAGCATTTAACCATCTACATGATATTTCTAACATACATACAAAATTTGACAACGATCGATCCAGCAGTTTCGGAGATTACATGTCTAATAAAAATGGATACAGACAGACAGACAGAAACGGGAGACCATGGTAGAAGAAGACATGGTATAGGCATACGCATCTGGTGTGACGTCAAGTGGGGTGAAATTAGCGCGAAATTTAAAATACAATTCGTTATCCAACAACTAATTGACGTATTGGACAGAGCAATGACAACTCAAGCTGAAATTCCCTAGACTTCCCTAGCGAAGCTCACAAGAGTCACAAGGTCGTTGATGCCACCTAACGTCACAAATGGATGCGCAGACCATTTTTAAATTGGTACATCGGATGCCTATACCATGTCTCCTTCTACCATGCAGGAGACTACTTTTTTCGTACTGAAGGGGTCATGAAACGTCGAGAAAACATAAAAGTGGTAATTCTTCTGATGGACTCGAGTACCATACTTCCTTACCTCACGCGCGGGAAGTAAAAATAAAGTTGATGTCATTTCCGGCTCTATCGTCATTTTAAAATAATACAAATTTGTTCAAAGAACCACAGGTTTATTTTTAAGATTAAAACAGTTTCAGGGGTTGTTTCAAATAAAAGAAACACCTATATATTTGGAACATTTTAGATACTACATAAATATTTCGTTTTTTTTGAGACATCCTGTGTAAACTGAATTCTGAATAATAAAAGTACATAAAAAATCTCATTTCTAATGAGATTTATTTTCCAAAATTTTCAGTTGGCGGGAACGAGTTATTGCAAGGTATGTATAGATAAATACTGAGTGGCGGTGTTTACTGTGAAAGATTTAAAGTTAAAAAAAGGCTTCAAAATGGACAAAATAGGCACTGTAGGCAATTACCTCTTATCCATTAAATCAATTATGTTATTTCTTTTTGGTTACTCAGCATTAACTAAGGAAGTATTGTAGTAGGGTCCATCGGGCGAATGGATATTAGGTCCTCCGTTTCCGTCTCTCTGTCTGTCGCCGTCTGCCCCACGGCCGTATATAACAGGTCTGCGAACTCCCAGTTTAAAATGGTCTTTTTTGGAAGAGATCCCAGGAGGCCACGGGAACTTAAAGTTCCTAGCGCCGTCTACTGGACACTATGATGAAACTATTCACAAAGGTCGACCAATAATGAATGAAATTTGCGTAAAAATGTCCTTGAATGCAAGTTGTCAAAAATGTCAGCTTTATAGGTTAACTTTTGTGACGTCTTTTTGAAAGATGAGGAGGATACGGTAAATCTCACCCGTAGCTGACAGCTAGTGATACCAATAGTAAAATAAACGGTGGTGTAAAAACAAAATGTTACTAGTTTCGCGAAGTGGCGCTAAATTTCGCGCCTTTGCGTGAATGGTGTTTGGTGTCAATGGTGTATAACCTACCACCTACCACCCCACACATCGCCCTATGCTATCACCATAAAATTTATATTATTGCATCTGTGTTAACTTCAGGTTAATTGTTATAGTCAGGTGCTTTCGTGTTGTATTACACAATTTTGTTTGTGTTGTAATACACAATAATAGTTTACGATATAAGTGAAGTTAATAAATATACATTACTGCAGGTATGTGATATAATATAATTAATTTCAAGATTTTTAACTTACGTTTATAACAATAGATCTAGGAGTGGATTGTTACTGGTAAAGGGATGGATGCCACGAATAATATCATTAAATGTCTTGTGTGTGACAAAACATTTGTGTGCAACTCTTCCAAAAATCAACACATGCGAAAGTTTCACCAAATTATAGGAACAAGTAAAGGTAAGAAAAATAACATATCTTGTATATTATGTTCTAGGGAAAAACAAGTCCAAAAAGTTTTTGGTACTTATCTGGAATTAACAAAGCACTTTGAGGAAGAACATCACATCCAAACAGAAGAGGAAGTCATTAAGTGCAGTAATGTTGAAGAATTTAACAAGTGGATGCTCATTCAAAGAAAAAGTGTCAGATATACTATTAGAAGAAAAAATAATTGTTCAAATTCTAAAACTAATAGGAGAATTGTTTATTATGATTGTAATAGAAGTAATAATGGTCAGTATGATTACTTAAATGATGCTGATCATTTAACATTTAAAGTTTATTTCTGAAGGCTATGAAAGTAAAGCAGTTGCAAAATTGCCAAAAGCTGGAGGCAGCATTAAAATAAAGGGAACTTGTCCATCACGAATAATAGCAAATTTTGAGGAAGATGGTAATACATATTATTTTGAAAAATCTTCAAATTTTCATATTTTTTTGCAGGAACAGTAACAGTGAAATACATTAAGTCCCATATTGGACATGAAGAAGATCTTAGATGTTAGAGGTTAACACAAATTGAAAGGCAAGAAATAAAAAATAAATTACAAACAGGGGTTAATAAGAAGAGATTAGTAGAAGATGCAAGGCAGTTAGAAGGCAACAAAATTACAAGACTTAATTTATTAACAAAACAAGATATAAACAATATTGAAAGAAATATAAAAAAAAAAACGAGATGCTAATGATATGATTGCAACTGCAATAAAAGTTACAAATGAGTGGAATAGTGATGGAAAAAATTATGGTTTTTTATTTAAACAACAAGGTAACATTTTATTAATTTCATGGGTAAAGTGTATATTAAATTTAATGTAGAGAGTGTAGTAGTTAGCAGCATGGTTTTGAGTTGGTGTTGGGTGTTTGCTTAGCTTATTTTCTAGGGGAAGAGGCACATGCTTATTTAAGAAAAGATGATTTTGCGGTTGGGTTTATGAATTCGGTGATGGAGCATAAATTAAAAGTCCACAAAGATATAATTTATATAGATGGGACACATAATACAAATAATCGAGGATGGGAGTTAACTACACTTTTAGTGAAAGATGACAGGGGTGTTGGTTTTCCTGTTGCATTTTTAGTTTCAAATAGGAGAGATCAGCTAATATATGAAGTATTTTTAGATGCAATGAAAAATAGATTAGATGAAGATATAGAACCAACTTACTTTATGTCAGATGACGACCCCAAATATTATAATTCATGGGTTAAAGTGATGAAGAATAGACCAAGAAAATTGTTGTGTTCGTGGCATGTGATAAAGAATTGGAATATCCAGGGAAGATCCAAAATTAAGAATCCAGAAATAAGAAAATCTATGAAAACTGATATGGGAAAAATTTTGAGGGAGACTAATGAAAATCGATTTGCAACGCTGAGTGAAATTTACATGAAGAAATTAGCAGAAGCAGATGAAATAGAATGTTTAAATTATTTAAAAAAGAATTATTTTCAGAGTGAAGAGCGAATAAAATCATGGGCCTATTGTTTTCGGATCAACTCAGGAATCAACACTAATATGGCAATAGAGAGTTTACACAAATTTATAAAATATTATGAACTTAATAAAAGAAGATGTAACACCATTGAAAATTTATTGGATATTTTGGACAAAGTGGTTGAAGATAAGACATGGACTAGAGTAGTGGAGTTGCATAGACCTAGTTCTAATAGTTATCAGCAAAGAATGGTCAGGGAAAGTCACAGAAAAGCAGAGAGTATTGAAAATAATGTGGAAGAAGTGGGATTTGGTGAATTTTTGGTGAAATCTCTAAATTCTAATTTAAATTACAGAGTTGCCTATGGTGATCGTTTGTGTAAAAGTGACTGTAAACACATGTATTGTACAATATGTGAAATTTGTTTTCATCAGTACACATGTCAGTGTCCACAATTTTCAGTTAAACACATTACTTGCAAACATGTGCACATGGTTGCTTTGTATGAAAGGAAGAAGAACGAATGCATGTTAGGGAGACATAATACGCCTGTTGTAGTAGCAGAAGATCGTAACTACTGTCAAAGTGCCAAGAATGAAGAAATTAACTCTTTTATTGAAGAACAACAAGAAAAATCTACTAGTGATGGTACAATGGATGATGAAACTTTAAAAAAAATTCCCAAGAAACAATTTTCAATCAAATTAGAGGTTTAGGTATGGAGGACTATAAAGATTTTGTGACACAATTTCAAGAGTGGATGAAGAAAATAGATATGAAAAATACATCAAGGAAAAGAAAAATTGACAATAAACAGACATACTATCCTGTGAAAAAAAGTAAAAATTCTACTGCTGAGTGAAGTATTAAGCCTATTTTGCTAAACGTTATAACAAGTGTTTAAGTTTTAAAATTGTAGATGATTTGTGGAATTGGAAGACCAATGTAGCCTTTACTTGATTCATGTGAATCATTTTATAGTTATTATATATATACTTATTAGATTATAAATTACACCCCCTAACTTTACCCATCTGAGTGTTGCATTTTACGTCACATAGTTTTTAGGTTTTTATAAAATAATAATAAAATATAATAAACATATTTTTTATTATATTGCTGCTGTTTTTATTGAAGGGATGTAGTTATCTTTTCATAATAACTATTCTTATTGTATCGAAAAATTGAACAAATACAAAATATAAAATTAAAAAAGTGCTAGCCTGAGCTTAAGTCTATCTCCTTTTAATATGAACACGTTTTGCTAAAAAAAAATTAATCAAATTACTATTCTTTGTCATGAAAAACTTAACATTTACATTAAAATATACCTAACATTTCTAAACGAGTGAGGTGTTAGTGTTTATAAACACCTTTTACTTTGAACTTCCCGCGTAGATAATTTGTCTCCTTTTGTTAGGGACATGCATAGTTAGTAACATCACCAAATGCCTGTGCATTATGTTGGCAACCATAGATGGGTGAGAATTACCGTATCCTAAGATGAGGGGGAATATACGTCAAATGTCATGTCAAACATCAGTTCATAGTGCAAATAGTACAATTAACTACCACATGGTGGCGGTCATCTTAAGCTCCCACTAATGTGACTCGATCTTGAAATGTGTGGCAATTAGTAACTTTTATGAAATAGAAATATATCTGTGTCCTTGTTATGCTCCGTCTTTTCGACAGCAGGTATTTTTTGCTTCCGGTATGGCGATCCTGTTACTGTCAATTGGCCGTCAATTGCCTTGGTGGTAACACGTCTTCCACGACTGTTTGCTGGTTACCGGTGACACTTTCTCGTTGAATAGGGCTGGAGTTACTTTGGGACTGGAATAGTGTTCTTTCCGGTCCGTTAACTCAATAATTCTAGTACAGTCTGTCGTAACCTCAAATCGTAAACACATCAAACTTTCGTTGACAGATAGCGAAAATTACTAGCCTCGCGCTATCTTTGTTTAACACATAGGTTAGGTTCCTCTCTGTCGAATTCCGACCACAGGCAGTTTGCCGTACTTTCTAAAAGTAATAGTAGATCTAGTGACTTTAGCTCCCACAACCTACTACGATACCAGTTTTTAAGCGCCCGTTTTATGAAAATTTATGAATGGAGTTGAAACACCTTACTTATACCACCGTGGTCTGCCCTTTGTGACCATTTTTGTTAGACCGATAATCTCGAAAACTATATACCGGACAAATTTTGTTAAAATTTTTTCCAGACGTTAGGAAAAAAATCAAAATTTTAAAACAATATTGTGCAATTTTTAACTTCAAAACTACGAAACTAAATGCTCTGAAATCACGCCGAGGTTTTACCATTACTCAAAATTGATGACGTCATCTCAAAATTTTACCAGATAAATCCGATCTAAAATGTATGGATTTATCAAAACAATTATATTTTTAGAATTGTTTATACAGGGTAACTCGAAAAACTTAATGAATAGGGCAATTTATTTTCCCACCAACAATGTGATTAGAAGGATTAATTTTATGGAAAGTGGCTAAACTACGGTAGCAGGAATTTTTATTTCACCTTTAAATACAAATTTTTATAATACGTTCTTATATAATACATACTGAAAAATATTATACAGGATGTCTCAGGTAAAATTCCGCAGCCTAATATCTTAAGAACGGATAGAGACATTGGAATTCTATGAACGCCTTTGTTTTTAGCTTAAACAGCCAAGTTTAATTTAGAACATTAGAAGTATCATGCATATATGGCGTCGAGGTCGCGACACAAACCTATATTTTTTTTCAAAGGCAAAATACATTGTTTTTAACGGATTTTGATAGACTTTTAAATTACGAATACAATGAGATAAAACGTTTAGGTAATTATTTCATTTTAAATTAAAAAAATATATAATTTATAAACATAAAACAATTCAAGTTGGGTGAAATGAAGCACTTGCATTTTATTTTATAATCAACAAGATCTATTTTAAAAGTTCGAACTTTCGAAAAATAGTGGTACAATAGTTCTTTATTTGGCTCAATGTTCATTTTTTTGTGTTTACAAATTTTATTTTTTTATCAACTGAACATGAAATAAATATCTAAAAGTGTTCTATATCATTGTAATCGCAATTTAACGGTCTACCAGAATCCGTTAAAAATACATAAATAAATCTATTTTGGTGAACGTTTTACCATATACACTATATTCTTAACCAAATTCAAAAATTTCATATCCGATACTTTAGAGATTACATCTCTAATACCAGACGGAAATGGAAGAGCTGCTTTTTCATATTTTAGGATCAATGAAATGTCGAGAAAACATGAAATTGCAATGCTTCCGTAACTTGGACTAGAATTGAAGCTTTAAATTTGATTTCAAAAAATTACTGCTTGCAAAAAAATTAAATGTAAAATACATTATAATTATAATACTATCAAGTTTTCTTAATGCAATATGACAATTAAAGGGGAATGTACTTCTGAGTTTATAGTTACTTATAAATAAAGATTGACTGTAATCTGAGATTACAGTCAATCTTTATACTAATTACTAATCTCACTGGTTTTTGTTGGATAAAAAAAGAAGTCAAGACTCGGGCCGATTTTCCTATAGCGGGATTAAAAAACATAACGAATGCTTTTGAAACGTGACTAGAATTCTTAAAAATTTATTTTAAAAACTACTAATTTGTCGTAATTAAGAAAACCACCACCTTTGAATTAAATTGGTACCAAATAAAATTCCTCTAGGGTTTATTTTTACACTGTCAAGTTGGTGGTACAAACAACTCAAATAAAATAACAAAAAACAACGTTTTTGAATGAAAACCATAATCATCCTAACCTCAATTTTTGACAGCACATCTTGACACATAAACTTCCCTGTACAATGTTGTCGGTTGAGTTTTCGTACTATGTTGCCAGTTGAGTGGTCTTTTAATTTTTGATTAGACAATACTTTAATTCACTTCCTAGAACATTCTCGATTTTTATTGTTATAAAATACAACACTTTATTCCAGCGACAGTTTCATATTTTGATGATTTTGATATTACAACTTTTTAACATTTGCGAACGTATTTCACAGCTTTGGAAACAAATTCATATTTCATTCGCTGTAAATGTCACAAAAACTCGTAATTCACTGCTTGGTGCCAGAAATATCAAATGTCAAATGTCATTTGATTTTTGCTGCGGAAGTTTGTTGTTTTAAATTTAATTCTCTACCTCAAGAATTATTTCAAAAGATAAATATTTACACCATTTTCACGTTTTTTTTTGGCATTCAATTTTTATTACGTTACGTTTTCATAGATCGAATATTGTAAATCATATATTAAGAGGTTTCCTAACACTATAGGGGGAGAGCAGAAAATCAAGCTTTTACCACCAATTGTTGAAAAATGATTTGACGAAGTCTAATAGAACTCATTTAGGGCGACAATTTAAATATACAGGATGTTCTATTTATAGAGGGTGATGAAATTTGTAAATTGACGATTTTCTCATTCTTGTCATGAGATATCCTGTATTTTACAATACTTTACAAGATATAAAAATAATTTATAAATTTTATGAGACTAAATTAATAAAGAAATCAACATTCACTTGCCTAAACTGAAAAATTTTGTTAATCCTTATATCTCCGTTGTGACGTCGTTGCATAAGTGAAGAATCACTTATGTATCTGGCGTCACTTTCAAGTCAAAAGGACGTAGATGTTCAGTTCCAATTTCTACTAGTTACTGTTTTGTTGAACCAATCATTTTAATTGCGGTGTATGTGACAACCAAAACGTTTACTGTAAAATGCCACATATCCATGCTGAAAATGTAAAAACAGAAATAAACCACTACCACGAAGAGAGCGTTTGTTTATCTGTGCCTCTATCCACGTTAATTTTCAGATGACCTACCACTTTTTCATCATTTAAAAGCTAAACGTGTAAAACAATCTGGCAATTAACCGCGCTTGGCGTTTAATTCGTAATAGCATTGCAGGGGAAACCCCGAAGCGTTCCGCTCTGCAGAACCGTACTCGGGGATGCCAAGACAAACTCGGCCCGAGTAGGCCACTATTAGATTATCATAATTAAATCTGTGTTTAAGTTTGCTAAATGTTTGTGTTTGTTTGCAGGGGGTGTGATGTGGTTGACTGGAGGGGGGTGCGCGGGGGGCAGCTAGCGGCGTGGGAGCCCCCCGGCCCCAGCATGACGCGCGCTAGAGAATGAAGAAGCAAAACGTTCGCACGCTATCTCTTATCGTTTGCACCTTCACGTACCTGCTGATCGGCGCCGCCGTCTTCGATGCTCTTGAATCTAAAACCGAAAATCAACGTAAAGTCGTCCTACAAGGTAAAGCACAACATAAGCCAATTAAATCGATTCCGCCAGTGCGGGCTTTGCATTTTTTACTAGTTGTTTACTTCTCGAGTGTAAGCTAGCTAATACTGTTTTCTCGACGTTTCGTAACTTCTAGAGTTTGGAAGAGTAGGTCTCTCGTCGTCTGTTGGGGTTTTATTAGTTGATAATCCCCGGAACCACTGGATTGATTGCTGCGAAATTTTAGCTGGATTTTTAGAAACATCGTCTAGATGATAAAACGATAACCAAAACTGGTTTGATCATCCCTATCCCCATCGACAATTTGATAACATCGTTTCAAAATTTTCCATTTTAAACCCTATTAAAATTTATAGAATAACGTACTTTTACGCCTGTGGTTTATGAGCCCGCTTTGATTTTCTCATCTAAACTGTGCAAAATATTTTTAGAATTGTTTATACAAGTGACCTAAAAAAATTAATGAATGAAGGAATCTATTTTAAATTAAGAACAACTCACCTCATTATTTTAAGAATTGTAAAAATGTAAAAAATACATAACCTGTAACAATCAGGATAATCATTACACAATATCTTTCTAAAACTGTCCTTCTCTTCTAATATAAAGCGCTGACTAGACAAAGGAACTTTAGCATAGTTAATCTTCTGATAGAATGCCGTATACATCACGACACTAAAATGTACTATGTGCATACTCTCCATTTATCTAAGTTTTATCCTAATTATCATCATTTGTGTAAGGTTTAGAACATTTATTTTCTCAGTTATTACTTTTGTCTGCTGCCATTTCTGGTGCTATCGTTCAAACAGACTCAAGCTTGGCAAACGTAATGTGAATATAAATGGTATTATAATAATCCCGTAACAAATCGCGCTTGCTAGTCTAAATTTTCAAGTTGGTGCTTTTCGTGACGTTTTATAGTATTATGAGTTCTTATTTTTGGTTGAAAAATGTGAGGATTCAACCATATATTACATGTCTTAAATGTTATTGTTCCAGTTATTGGTTAAGATTTTAAAAGTAAGTGAATCAGTGCCAAAAGAGATCAGTACCTAACTGATTTTTTTTCATTTGTGATATGTTAAAATATAAATATTATAAATGTTATTACTTAAGCATATATCCAGTATCTAAATTTTATTAAGAAAAACTCACTTGAAACACACGCATTTACCTGTAGTAACAGTCCACAGAGTAACATATCCTCATGTTACCTTATATAGTTATCTTTTAAAAATTAAAATTCGTACTTTATTTTGAAACAGTTTTAAGAATCTGTTTTATTTTATTTCTAAAAACTTCCAAAGAATCTTGGAAGTTCTTAGTATCCTAATGACTTACTGTAACGATATACCTTAGACCGGACGCAAGTACATATTTTTTGAATTGCTATGAAAATTAATAACAACTAATAAAGAATATTTTTGCGGAAAATATCTTGATATGAAAACTCTTCAGGTAATTTTTAAAGGTAGTCGAAAAATGGTCCAAAAATAAAAAGGATGAGTACAGAAAAGGGGAGTTTTTGAAAAAGTTGTCTAAAAATTCACGAACGATATATTTCGTGAAAAATAAGTTCTGGAGGTGCAATTCAATTTTTGGCGACGTCGACTAAAAATCCACAACAAATCCTGAGACAGAGATTTCGGAGAGTTGAATAAAAAAATATAGCGTGTTGATGGTCCCAGATCAAAATTTTTGAAATATTCGTTTTCAAATTGAACTTTTTAAAATATCCCACAAATTATTGCTATATTTCATTTTGACGATTTTGGGAAAATCACAAATATTTTAGAGGAAATGGAGCAGAAACACATTCTGGAAGTCGAAATTAACAAAACATTTTTTTTATCATTTTATATGGTATTATTGTACTTCTAAAAATAAAACACCAATGGTTCCTTGAGATTCTTTCGGCGAGCAAAACGAGCTCTATTATGGTACTTCTAAAAAAACAATAGATCCCCAAGATTCTTTCAGAGGGTGAAGCGAGCTGAATTTTGATTCTGAGTTGTAAAAATTAAACACCAATTGGTCTCCGTGAAGCTCTCAGCGAGCAAAGCAAGCTGTATTATGGTGCTTCTAAAAATCGAACACCAATGGGATCTTCATAATCTTTCAGAGATCGAAGCGAGCTGTATGATGGTAATTTTAAAATTAAAATACCAATGGATCCCCTTAGCAAGTACTAGCTCCGCCCATCCGCCCTTTATTTGCTTGGAGAGTATGTAATTCGCCAAAATCAATCTTGTCTTAGCAAGTACTAGCCCCGTCCACCCGCCCTTTATTTTCTTAAAGGGTATGTAATTGGCTAAAATCAATCTTATCTTAACAAATACTAGTGACGCCCACCCGCCCGTTGCTTTCTTATTAGAGTCTTAGAGGGTACTTCATTCGCCAAAATCAGTTTTGTCGTAGCAATTATTAGCCCCGCTCTTTATTTTCTTAGAGGGTATGTCATTCGCCAAAATCAGTCTTATCTTAGCCAAAAATTTCATATTTTTTGAAAAACTGGAATACAGATTTCGACGATTTGAATTGAAAAATAGCGTATAAAAACCATTTCTAGAGGTCGAAAAGAATCTCTTTTCGTAATTTTCGAGGGTGCTCGGAAAAAGGTGAAAAATTTTATACTTGGGTGTATTGAAAATTGTGTTTTTGGAAAAATGTTTAAAATTTAACAAAAAATTCTAGGATATAGACAAAATTTTTGTATTTGGAGATTTTAATATGCCTTCTATCGATTGGTCCGCCACCTCTTACCAGGCTCACGATATTTCTTCGCAGTTACTTATAGACATGATTAATAATTCACATGTTAATCAAATTGTATCTCAACCGACTCGTTACAGGCTTAATCAGCAACCCTCATTATTAGACTTAATTTTAACTTCTGACGACAGCTCCCTAACTGATCTGATGTACCTAAGTCCATTTGGCAAGTCTGACCATGTAACACTAAAAATTAACTTGCAGCTGTGCTATGTACTTAGGCAAAGGGTCGACACGCTTTCCAAACTTGTGACGAAATATAAAGCTGTAAATGATGATCTCAGTAATGTCGACTGGACAAAATTGTTTAGTAATTCTTCGATCATTACGAATTGGGAGTCGTTCAAAAATATATTAGGTGACATAGTGGGTAAACATTCTAGTATTGTTAAGTCAGCAGATCATCTGTTAAGCCATGGATAAGCGGTAGCTTGCTAAAATTAGTCAGGAAGAAAAGATCGTTATGGCGTGCCTTTAAACGTACTTCCAGTGCTGCTGACTATCAAGCGCATAGGGCATTTTCAAATAAACTTTCTAATAAAATCAGAGAAGCGAGGGTTGAGTATGAAAAACGAATAGCGGAAAGTAAGGATCCCAAACGCCTGTTCAAGCACATCCGCGCTAATATATCGGGCCCAGTTAAAATTCCTCAACTTAAAGATGCTACTGGTCGCCTTCTAAACGACTGCAAGGTCATAGCGAATATTTTTGCAGAAAACTTTTCCCGAAATTTCACAGTAGAGCCTGATGCAAAGATTGCTGACATACCTTTTGAACCAAATTCCGTCCACATGGACGAGATTCAGTTTACTCCTGAAACAGTATTGAAGCTCTTGCAAAAATTGAAAACGACAAAGTCTCCAGGGCCGGATTATATAACTGCCAAAGTTCTGAAAGAATGTGCTACCTCCTTATGTGAACCGATTAGTTTTTTGTTTACTCAGTCTTTTAACTCTGGTACTTTACCTCCCGATTGGTTGACAGCTTTCGTCAAGCCCATATTTAAGAAGGGAGATAAATTTTGTCCCGACAATTACAGGCCTATCAGCTTAACATCGGTGGTTGTTAAGATCATGGAGACAGTTGTATATGACAGCACGTTCAAGTTTCTTTTGGACAACAAAATTATTCCCGTTGAACAACATGGGTTCGTTCCTGGTAAATCAGTTGGTACCAATTTGCTTTGTTGTTTATCAAATTGGACAAGGAATTTTGACTTGGATATCCCGACTGATATAATATACATGGATTTTTCCCGGGCGTTTGACCGTGTACCTAAACGTCGTCTTCTCCACAAGTTGCATTATTTTGGAATACGAGGGAATCTTTTGCGTTGGATCGATGCATTCCTCTCTAATCGTAGCTTTACAGTTAAGGTTGGGGATGCTTGCAGTTCAATTACTAGAGTTTTAAGTGGTGTGCCGCAAGGATCAGTGCTTGGTCCACTCTTATTTACAGTTTATACAGCCGACTTAGGTGTTCGACTGAAATCTCCTTTTGCGATGTTTGCTGATGACTTAAAAATTTATAATTCAGCGAATGATCATCTAGTTTTGTGTAGGGATCTTTTAACCGTCTATACCTGGTCAAATGAATGGTTACTGCCACTTAACGTTGACAAGTGTAAAGTGTTGTCTGTTGGAGCGAACAATCCAAGACATCTGTATTATATTAATAATCTTGAGCTTAGAAGGTATGAATCCTGTACTGACCTGGGTGTTCTGGTAACTTCCACATTATCATGGTCCGACCATATTAGTCAAGTTACAAGAAAAGCCAATAAAGTACTTTACCTCATAAGTAAAGTATTTACTAAAACTGATCCGTTAACTTTTTCTAAATTGTTTAAAACATATGTTAGGCCGATCTTGGAATTTGCTAACGCAGTGTGGGCCCCCATATTCCAGCGCGACAAAGATCTTCTCGAGTCTGTTCAAAGACGAGCTACGCGTGTTCCTTATGGCTACCATAGACCCCAGTATCACCAAAGATTATCAATTATGCAACTTCCGCTGCTTTCGAATCGGCGAGTTAGAGGTGACGTGATAACTGTATACAATGCTCTGACAGACGATAATTCTCCGATAAAGCATATATTTCCTCTCAATACAGACGGACGGACACGAGGGCATTCATACAAACTTCTTAAAGACCGGTTTCGTACCAGTGTTAGACAGTTCTTCATTGTTAACCGTGTGTTTAATGCCTGGAATTCTCTACCTGCAGACGTTGTACAA